GGAGCCATTGGGCGTCAGGGATCCTTGGAGCAGTCGAGAAGCGCTGGGAAAGGCAGCCGGAGCTGGCTGGGCCGTGGGGCCAGTGCTGGGGCACTTGTTGTTCCCTTGAAACCTGGCCAGGAGGCTGCCCAGGGCTGGGATGGCGACTTGAGCCAAGGAGGAATGTGGTACGTGCCAGCTCCAAGAGGAGGTGTCTCCAGAAACGGGCTGGGTTGCTGGAAATGGGGAAGCGGCCGAGCTGGTGGCTGCCAGCGCAACGCTGGTAATCACCCTCGGTGGAAGACGGGCACAGAGTTACCCTCGTGTGCGCTCACGCTGATCCATACAGCGTGGTGTTGGTGCTGACTGGAGCGAGTTTCTTTTCCCAGTGAAGGGAGCAGCCGGTGGGGAGAAGGCACTGGTGGGCAGGGGGTCCCGTGCTGGGCGCGGGGCATTGGGAACATCTCCCCTTGCATCGCCTCGCACCCTGTGCCAGCTGCCTGCTCTGCAGGGTGCTCATCTCCGGGAGCCCTTTGGGGATGGGTGGCTGCTGTGAGCAAAGGGAGCGGGGGTGTCGCAGGTTTAGGGGTGATCGGAGTGTGCAGCAAGTGCCGTTGGCACACAAGGGATGTGCGCCCGGGGCCCACGCTGTGCGTCTGGCCACGCATCCCTTGCCGAGGGCGTAGTGCAGATGCTGGGAGCAAAGGAGGAACGGCTGCATCCCAGTGAGTCAGCCTGGCCTGCCAAATCCTCTGCCGGAGGAATGCTTTGTCTCCCTGATGTTGCTGCTGTGCACGCCCACGCGCCAGGCCAGAGGGATGTGCCAACAGTCAAGTTTGGGCTGAGGGCTCTCCAGGCTGCCAAATCAGTGGGGAGTTGCTGGGAGACAGTGGGTGAGCTCTGGGATGTGCCCGGGGCCCACAACGGGCTTGTGCAATGAGCCTGTTTCCCACCACAGACTCGGGAGGTTCATCCCTGGCTCTGTTTCCCGGTGCAGGGGCTGCGCAGGTATGCACAGCATACCTTGGAGGGAGCCGCTGTGCTCTCTGCCCCACGACGGGTCAGTCAGGAGCAGGCACAGCTCCTGTGGGCATCGCTGCCTGCCCTGCTCCCCGTAGTCAGGGTCCTGCTGCCTGCAGGACACTGAGCTTCACGCTCTGGTTCCTCCTTGCAGGGGTTTTGAACAGCTGAGCATCACCCACGACACGACAAGATGTTTGGGGGAAAAATGAGCAGCATTGGGAAGAAGCTGATTCGCCGGCGTGTGGTGGATCTGAGCTCCGAGGACACTCGTTTCGCTCGCTGCCTCTCCACGCTGGACCTCATAGCCCTGGGAGTGGGCAGCACGCTGGGCGCCGGCGTGTACGTGCTGGCTGGGGAGGTGGCCAAGGAGATGGCTGGTCCCTCCATCGTCCTCTGCTTCCTGGTGGCTGCCCTCTCATCTGTACTGGCCGGACTGTGCTACGCAGAGTTTGGGGCCCGAGTTCCCAAGACTGGTTCTGCCTACCTCTACAGCTACGTCACCGTTGGCGAGATCTGGGCTTTCACAACTGGCTGGAACCTCATCCTT